GGAGCAGCTTAATGGGTGTTTAACTATTATTCAAAAAGTCGAAAAATATCTTCTCAAAACAAGCTCACAAGAATAATTGAGGTTTCAAAAGATCTTTTGGTGTCAGAGATCTAGATCTAGATGGATAAAAAAAAGGGATAATAATACTAAATATTTTCACGTCATTGCCAACTCTCGGAGACGGTTGAATAATTTGGAGGGGATTCAACTTCTTGGAATTCAAGAAGGTGATAGGGATGGTAGGGAAAGGGAAACTGTAGATTTTTGTCAAACTAGCCTTCACTTCACAATCTAGACTTCCCTTCTCCCTGGATGATCTCCCCTTTAAGAGGCTTGATAATGATAGGGCTATGAACCTTGTGGTGCCTTTCTCGGTTGATGAAGTCAAGGAAGCAGTGTTTTCTCTTCCAAGAGATAAAGCCCCTGGATCTGATGGGTTCCAAATGGCATTTTTCCAAGAATTATGGGATGTAGTCAAATGGGACTTGCTGCAATTTTTTGTTGAATTTCACTCGGATGCTATTGTCAATAAAGCCCTTAATTCTACTTTCATGTCCCTCATTCACAAGAAGCAGCATTTGGAGACTCTTCATGATCTTAGGCCTATTAGCCTGTTGATCTCAGTATATAAGATATTGGCAAAAGTTCTTGTGAATAGCTTGAAAGAAGTTAATTCTTTGGTTGTTCAAGGCCCCCAATCTGCTTTTATCAAGGGGAGACAAATTACTTATGGAATTCTTGTGGCACAAGAAGTGATTCACTTTACCAGAGTAGAGGGTTCTAAAGGCATTTTATGCATGCTTGATTTCAAAAAATCTTATGATATGGTGGAATATGATTTTTGGATGAAATTCTAAGGCTTATGGGCTTCAGCCACATTTAGAGACGATGGATCAATGGGTGCTTGTCTTCTACCCACTTACCAATCCTTATTAATGGAAAGGCTTGTGGTTACTTCCAAGCTTGTCAGGGTTTAAGACAAAGGGACCCTTATTCCCTTTCTTTTTTACCCTAGTTGGGAATCTTTTAGCTTCATGATGCGATCGGCGATGAGGGCTGGTCTTTGATGGCCTCAAAGTTTATGGTTGTGAGGAACCCATTTCCCACTTACAATATACAAATGACATTCTACTTCTTAGTTCAGCATCCCTGGAATAAGTTCAACACATCTGGTTGTTTCTCAAGTATTATGAACTGATCTTTGGAGCTAAAATCAACTCACACAAATTCAAAATCATTGAAATTAATTGTGAATTTGAAGAGTTGAACAAATGGGTCTTGTGGCTAGGTTGTGGTACTAACGTACTCCCTGTTAAAATACTTAGGTGTACCCCTTGCTAATGGTAAGCTTCCAAAGTAAACCTGGGACCCTATTTTGGAGCGTTTTGAGTATAAATTAGATGAGTAGAAAGGTAGATATCTTTCTTTTGTGGTAGAGTTACTTTGATTAACTCAGCTTTAGCAAACACCGCAATTTATTTCCTCTCCACGTACCAAGCGCCAACATCTGTCTTGAAAATGTTGGAGTCTCTTATGCGAAGGTTTTTATGAAGTGGCTAGGCTTTGCCTAAAAAGTAATGTTTGGTTAGATCGAATAAAGTTCGCCGGCCAAAAAAAGAAGGGAGCTTGGGAATACGGAGACTCAAGCATATGAATGACGCCTTACTCACCAAGCGGTGGTGGCGAGTTAGCTTGGAACCTCAGCTGGAGTGGCAAACACTGATATTTTCAAAATATGGCACGGGCCAGAGTGGCCTTTACCCCAAAATTTATTCAAGCAATCACTCCTCTTCAATGATATGGAAAAGGATTAACTTTGTCTGCAATATTTTTCTAGTCTATAACAGGCTGAAAGTGGGGAACGGAGCAAGGATCAACTTTTGTCAGGGAAGTGGTTGGGAAATTCTTTGCTTATGGTGCAATAAACAGATGTTTACTGTTGGGCAATGGCCAAACAAGCTTCCATTTCAGAAATTGTAGAAAGACAGGGGTTTAATTACAACTGGAAGATAGAGCTCAGGGTATGACAAATTGATGAAGTTACAGAACAACAATTCTTGTCCTTGTTGCAACTGTTGCACTCACTTTTCTTTCCCAATGGACATGACTATTTAATTTGGGAGCTTACTCTCCGTGGCTTTTTTTCGGTCAAGTCCCTGTACCATGAGGTGAGCAATGACAGAGTATTTGAGATGAGCAACAAAAATACCAAAGTTTAGGTTATCAAAGCTCTTAGATGAGTTCGAGCTTTCCTCTGGCTGCTAGAACAAGACAAGAGTTCTCACTGGGGACCAACTGAGAAAGAGAGGCAAGATTTTGGTTAATGTCTATATTTTTTGCAAGCAAGCATTAGAAAGTAACAACCATCTATTTATCCATTGCCCCTTTGTTAGCTACCTATGGAACTAGGCTTCCACTATCTCTAGATGGCTATGGGTTATGTTGAAGAATATCTTGAAATTTTGCCATAGTTCTCAGTCCCCCTTTCACTATGATTGGTATCCACCTCTGGCGCATTTTGTTCATTTGCAGTTTTCTGGTCAATCTGGAAAGAAAGAAATTTCAAGATTTTTTCATGAGATTTCCCATCATCTTTCTGATATCTCTTGAGGGGTAATGAAGATAATAGTTAAATGGGCTCATGCCTCTTTGAGCTTAAAGAGTTATCCAAAAAATATTTTTCTCCACCAACCCAAAAAAGCAGTTCAATCATCTCAGTGGATTTCCCCCTCTTGATGGCACTGTGAGATTCGAGGTTTAGAAAGTTAGTTGTAGAGTGATTCTTAGGGAGCTCATGGGAATGTTATCTTCTCCAATAATGGGCAACTAAGTTTATGTGACATCAATGAAGCATACTTAAGGGTAGTCAGTCAACGAAGGAGTCTTACAGCTTCAAGGTGACCACGAGTGCATTATATTGAGGGAGACTCGGCTAACGTTAACAAATGGTGCTCTCAACCTCACATCACTCCCTGGCAATAGACCTCCATGATATATAAAATATTTTTGGCCATATTGGCAAGGAGGTTTAGTCCCTTTCCTATCTCTTCTTTCTTTTATTTTTCTATTGTTGACTTTGTAATAAATTATTGTTAACATTAAAAAAATGAAAAACCTTTATTTTACCTGGCTTCTGTTGTTATTGAATGGCATTTCAGAATTTGACCTAAGAAGTTCATAAAATAATTTCATGAGATGCACATGTACTTTTTTTTTTTTGGGTGAGTAAGTGGGGAAAGGGCCCCAACCCTTGGTAGGAAACGAACGTCGCAAATTGTCATACACTAACCAATTAAGCTTGGGATCTTTTCTTAAAGTGGTAAGTCAGTGGGAATTTGGGTCCCAACCCTTTGGTGAAAATGGAGTCAGAGACTTCACAATAGAGCTCGACAATACTACCGTCAAAGCCGAGGCCATTATCATGATGCACAATATGCACTTCATAAAGGAAAAGTGCTATGTTAACCAATTTATAAAATAAAGGAAAAGTGTTATATTAACCGATTTATAAAATAAAATAGTTTATTTCTATTCCCTCGGTTATATAATCTTCTCGAGAGGATTTTTTAAATTTTAAATTTTGTCAACTACCTTAGAATTACTACATGATTATTTAAAAAAAAAAATTTGAAATTTAAATTTTTAAACATTCAGATCTCACCCTCCAAAACTTGGATAGTTTCCATTCAATCTTGAAACATTATTTTTTTGTGATTAGCGGGTGCAATTAATTCTTCTCATTAAGGTTAATCTATTTGTTAATAAGGTTATATCCCCATAACTTGGGTCCTAAAATTAAAATTAGATAGGGTTTTACCCGAGGGAGCAAAAGAACATTATACTTCCGAGGGAGTATATTATTTTTTGGCTTATAAAATTGAAGAGAGGAAAGTACGCGCTATTTGTTGAAGGGGATAAAGGGAAACGCAAGGCCAGCTTTTGTTTCTCAAAAGTCTGGTCCCTAAACTCAAAACTACCTGCCGTGTCAAACACTACCATTATTTTCCCCCGCGTTCTCGACGTGTTTCATGTCTTCCATAACGAAACTTTGCGAACGACGGTCAGGAGGACACTTAAGTGTTCCCACGTGTCTTCTTTTTCTTTTCACAAAATACTATTATTTTTTTTGAAAAAGTTCATCTAATAACTAAGTTGTTCCTCGAAAATTTAGTAGAAATAATAACTAAGGTGTTCCTCGAAAATTTAGTAGAAAGGGGTATTTCAAAATTGAAAAAAACTTTGAATTGATCATCTGGCATCAAGATATATTGTATAGAGAAAAAATTAATTTTAATCAAGATATATTGTATAGAGAAAAAAATAATTTTAAGTCTTAAAAGTAGTTCATCTTATAATACGTAAAAATAATTTTAAGTCTTAAAAGTAGTTCATTTTGTAATAAATATTTTCAAAACTATTTTTACAATTTTAAATAGATTTATTTATGCATGGACTTTAAATAAGTTAGGAAAGTTACTACCTTTGTATCGAAAATTACAATGTCAATGCAACTTTTTTTTTTTTCTAAGAAAATTACTCCTTTGTTCGCTCTTTTGTTAGTCCAAATTTAAGTCGTAGGATGGTATTTTTGGGCTGTTTTTTATTTCAAAACTTAAATTGTGGTCCAATGATTTTAAAATTGAGCTGCAACTTAAGTTTTTAAAAAAAAAAAAGTGGTCTAAGAAACGACTTAAATTTTGATAAAAAAAAAAAAAAAATCCGAAGATGACATCTTCAGATTGAGGGGTGATTTTATCAAAAAACATAAATAAATAAATTTCGCAACCTTGATCGTAATTTTATGGCACATAAATAACTCTTTTAAATATCAGGTTGAACATGGATTTTCAAATTATTAGAACGTTACTTGCACCGACAAAATTTAGAGGTGCTTTGTAATATGGGCACCGTATAGAAAGGTCAACCTTTTTTTACGTGATACATAAATAGTATATCGAGTCCCTCTAAAGAATAATAATAAGAATTGGTCATCATCCAGCTAAGTTTTACTGCCGCCTTTCTTAAAGAATGTATTGAAATGAGATAACAAAAACATTGATTTGGAATGGAAAGAATGAATGGAGTACTTTTCTCTTGAAGAAGAGAAAAGAGCAAGAAAAAGAAAAAAAATCGCGAAACCTTGTCCGGTAAAGCACATGATGTGAGCCCCTCAATCCCTTGACCAAAACTTGTATTCACCCATCCTTTGACCAAAACTTGTATTCACAATAGGAAAAGACGGGGAACGAAGCGCCTCAGTCTTGACTTTGCAGGAAGGAGGACGCGGTGGTGGTGGTGGTGGTGGTGGCGGCGGTGGCTGTGGCGGTGGTGCAACTACTTTGATTTTGATTATTGCTGGGGGCAGTACCACCACCTCCAATAATGGTAGTAATTGCAGCTGCAAGAGCAGCTGTGAAATTCGGATCCGCCGTGATGGCGGCGCTAACTGTGTTAGCGAGAGATAGCTGCCCTGCTGCCTCCAAACCCGGTGAAATTTGGAGGCCAGAGAATATAGATTGGTTGTTGAGGAGGGAATTTGCAAGGGCCTGAGGAGGGTAAGATGGATGAGCTGGTGCTGCTGTTGTTGCCGGAAATGGGAAAGGAAAATGGGAGCGGGGAAGATGTGGGGGAGGGGTATGGGTGAGGTCCAGTGTGACCGTCGGGAAAGGGGCGGAAGCAGAAATGGTGGCCACGGTGGATGATGAAGGTATGAGGATGTTGGGGTTCATGATGCCGCCGTCAGCACTTGACATTGATCCAGACAGCAGCATGCATGCAGCAGCAGAAGTGGTGGATGCCATGGCTGTCGCGGCTGGTGGAAGGGGGTGGTTGTGGTTTCCTTCATAAGTGGTGATTAGTATGCTACGGTCTTCTGCGCATCTCTGCACCTGCTTGCGAACCGGACAGCCCGCTGCCATGGTGCACCGATAGTATGCTCTTGGGCAAGGATTGCCCTTGGCCAACTTTTGCCCATATTTACGCCATTGACATCCATCTATTATCTGTTGAGAAAGAACTATAATTACTGGGAGAGAAGTAAGTTGAAAGATGAATTAGAGTTATGGTAGTTGGAGAATGAGGAATTGGATTGCAGGTTTGATTTCAGTTGTTTACCATGGCAGCTTCTGACCTTGCGCGAACAGAAACCCTAGCCTTCCTCATGGTGGCCTCTCCTGCCCCAGCAGCAGCCTGATCTCCATTTTTAGCAGGGTGCAATTTGAAGGCGGATTCGTTCCAGTCATGATCTCCGGACTTTCGGTCGTCTGCAAAAGAAGGATGGATGGTGCGATAATCCTTGGTCAGGCCCTGTGAGTTATGGGAGGGAGAGCCTGAAGGCTCACTGCTTTGTCCCTCAGATGGTGGCGACTGAGAGCGATTATCTGTTTCGGCCACTGCGGCAGGACCCAGATCCATGAACTGTCTCGGCACCATCATGAATCCATCTCCTGTTTCCTGGTTTTTCAGACCCCCAGTCTTTTCCTGCTCCATATGCTGCAAAAAAAGAAAAATGACAAACCAGGAGGATCACAATTCATGTGTCTACAGTAATTTGTTTCATGGGTTTACTCCTACATGTACCAAAAGATTATGGAGAAATCTTATGTAATAAATTGATTCAAGGGTTTCAGCCGTTTCTTGATTCAGATTAGCACAGTACAACATCAAATGGAGAAGACGTATTGAATATCTATCGATTAATTGTTTTTAAGAGAGAAATGAATATGAATTGCAAACCTGATCGCCATTGCTCGTTAGGACCAACGAATTGAAGTAATTATGAAGAGATTTGTAGTTGTTGCTAATTTGCTCTAGCATGCTCCTTAATCGAAGGTTCTCTTCGTTCACGCGCTCAAGCTCCGCTTGCAGAACATTTACCTGTCACCACCACCACCACCACCACCATGTCAAATTCTATAAAAAATAATTAATTTTAATGAACTGAATTAGGAATTCAAATTGAATTGATTTCTACCTCATTATTTCCTTTTCTGTTTCCAGGAGTTCCCATGTCATCGTCTTCAAGTGTGGATTGATGGCTGGAACTATTATTGTTTCCAGTTAAAAGGCGCAAACCAGTCTGCAACCAACAAACAAAAAGCTTAATCCCATACTAATTTCCAAAAACCCAAGTGAACGAGGAGAGATAAACGCCAACTCACGTTGACATCCAAAAGTTCCTCCTCTTTGATCTTCTTCTTCACCTCAAAATCCTCGAGTCTTCTTGTGCGTACAAAACCAGACTTTTTATCAGAAAGGAAATCAACTTCGCAATGACTAGATTTCTCGTTGAGTTTTGTAGAGTTGAAAGTTGCAGAGAGGTCCATGGGATCTCGCATGACCCTTGAATTCAGAAAAGAAGGTGCATTTGAGTGAAGAAACCCACATGAATCAGTTAGTCCTCCGCATATGTCCATAGAGAGAGAAAGGTTGGAGAGAGAGAGAGAAGAGAAAATGGAGATGAGAGGTTAAATTGAGGATTCAAGTCTTCCCTGTTTGAGCGGGGTTAAAGGGAGAGGGAGAGGGACGGGTTTGGATTTTTGGTATTTGTTGCTACGTAAGTGTGTGCGTCATTCAGCCAGCTGTACGGACGCGAAAACCAGCATCGCACGACGTCATTCGCAACAGCGGTGTCCATCATTTCACACTACCTTCTTCTATTATTATTAATATTATTTATTATTATTATTATGAGTATGTTGTAAATCATCGAGCGCCTAACCAAGTAAACTTGAGCTCTTGCCCTTTTCTTTGTCAAACAAAAGCACTCTCTCGCACCTAATCCATAGATGCTAGCGTTTCAAATTTCTAATTTCAGATGGGTGGGTAGATGGTTTTTGCTTGTAGATCGTTATATCTATTAGACCAGGCAGTTTGGATTGGGTTTGGATCGTATTGATGTTTTCAAAATATTAAATATAAATAAAATTTTTTAGGGTGAGGATTAACAAAATCTAAAACTATTAAATAAGTTTATTTTAAAAGAAAATAGAGTGGATTTTAAGAGGAATCAGATCAAGATGAATACGAATTGATTCATCATTCCTAATTCTCATTTGGATTGATAGTCTATATATAAAAAAAAAAAAGTTGTTTCAGGTGGGCTGGATTGTATTTTTGCGATATACGATTCAGTTGTGTAAAGCATCGGATTCAAATAGGTGGTACAAACTAAAAATTATTTTAATTAAATATTTTTTTAATATAATTATTATTTTTTATTTTATTTTTTTATTCATGATTTTTATATATTCTCTAAAAATTTAAATCAAATTATATTTAAAAAACATATTTCTCGTAAAGCCCACCTTTCTACCATACGCAGTTTAACCTCGTCGTATAAAAAGTCGTCCAGCTTCAAAACACTGATGAGTAAGAAATAAAATAAAATAAAAATAAAAAGAGGATGAGGAGGGTTAGGGGGGAGAAAAAAGTGAGGATTAGGTGGGTGCGTGTGACTGAGTCTAACACTTTGACTGCTTCTCCCAAAAAGCTATCCCGATTGGGGCGGCCGACTTCACGTGCGCAATGCACCAGTCAACACAATTGACGCCTTGGCTCTACCGTGGGACCCACCGTTCCCTGCCTTTTGGAAAAACAGAACCCACCCCCCACAGCCCTTTTGACTTTAGCCTCCGCATCGGCGGTGCGGTCAAAGCTCAGCTTCATTTCCGCCTCAAGCGTTGACGTTTTCATTTCTATGAACCTGAGAGCTTCCAGGAATTTATCCGGATTCAAAATGGAATCCATCAATGCCTTGGTGGAGCCTCCTTTTACATTTGTGTGCCGTTTTTCCATTATGGAAATCTTCATCAAGTTTATATATTAAGAGATTGTATACTACAAGAGGTTATCTTTAGTAGAATCTCGCAATTGTACATAATGCCGCGTGTCCAATTTGAAAGTTTAACCGTCTTACAAAGGGGTTTTTTTTTTTTTGAATTTTGAGTTTAGTTAATAGAATAATGGAGCTGTCTAATTTTACATTCAATCTTCAATAATAATTGTTAAATAGTCATCATCATCCTCCAAGTCTATATTATTAACAATTATTATTGAAGACTGAAGACTGAGGATGAAGATGATGACTGAGGATGATCATCATCTTCCAAGTCTCAATTATTTGGGTCCTATCTCAATTATTTGGTCTTATTATATTCTTAAAATTTGGTCTTATTGTATACTTATCTCAATTATTTAGTCTTATTATATACTTAAAATTTTTGGAAATAGAGAAACGAGATAATATTTTACTGAAGCTCAGTCTACACAAAAAACTTTTGACTGAGGTATACATGTGCACATGTTACATACTATTTACACCTACTATTTACACGTGATCATGAGATTTACCTGATTAATCACGTCCCGCTCATTTGAGATCCTGTTAAAACTCAATATTTAAGAGTCTAAAGGGGTTGTCTCCAAAAATTTACCTGACCAGCTGATTTGAGATTGCGTTAAAACTCAATATTTAAGAGTCAAAAAGGGTAGGTCCGCTAAAATTAAGATCTACAATGAAATCAGCTTAAGAAGACTTATTCTTTACAAATATATGGCAGAAAGTTGAGAGTACCGGAATCAAAGAAAACAGGAACAAAAAAAGAAACAAGCAATAAAGATCTACCAAAGGAATAAAGATGAATATCCGTGACAATGAAGGCAATTAAATCACAAAAACAACTCAATAAATAAGAGAAACAAAATGCAAATAGAATAACAAATCTGCATAAGAACATAAGACTAAAGAGAGATATCCAAGGGAAATAACAAAGAACATTAAATAATAAAAGATAATTAAGTAGAGAAAGAAAGAAATAACCTGCTGGCTAGGCTTGTAGTCCCAACACCTGGAATTAGGCTTGCATCGAACGACGAAGATGAAGTCCTAGTCCTTGATCTTGGTGATTAACGTCCTGAATTGCAAACGGGGAAGAGAGTGACACCTAGAAATTTTACATCTAGGGCATTGAAAAGACCAAAAAAGATTGTTTTTATCTCTTAAGTTGGTTGGAGCAGGGTTTGATAACTAGGGTTTAAGGAGCCTATGTCTAGGGTTTGCAGGTGTCTACAACTACGTTCGAGAACGATTTATAACAGATAAGATGCAAATTCACTTGAAGCACAATTAACTAAAGATTTATGAGGTCCATGTCGAATTTTGACTCAGAGGCAATCTAATCTCGATTGGAGATCAAACCTTTTAGGGGTGTCAATAGGGCTGACTGTAACTCGGATCGAAGTCGAAAGAAAGCTACGAATAATTACTAAAAAAATAAAATATAATGCGAGAAGATATTGATAATATTATTAAATCACAAATTAAAAATGAAATTAAGTACTTACGAACCGTTGTGGCCTTTCAGCCTATAACCTAGAGTAGGAATCTTGATTAGAGAAAATTTGAATGAACGAATCCCTTCTTTTCCTTTAGAAAATGCCTTCTTTGAATCTTGAATGAACAAAAATGGCGTCCCTACATATCTATGAGTTTAATGCATGAATAATGGGATTGATTAATGATTTTATGACTAATGACTGTGAATGATCATGGTTATAGGGAAAAGTTAGGGTTTGAAGGCTACTAAATGGACTAAGGATTAGGGTTTCTCGATGGATGATTTGTTAGGGTTTTGATTTTTTATTTTCTATTTACTAGCTGACCGATGGGTTTTCCTACGTTTTATTTATTTATTTATTGTTCCGCTCCTTAACGGTTGAACAATGAGCCTATTTATAGGTAAAATGGGTTTAAAATTTGGAAGGCGATTAACTTGACGAATCCATGGCTGACCCATGTTTGCGCTGCATTACATGGTGTAGGAAATCGCAATAATACACTGCACTTTGTGGTGTAAATAATTAGACCTGGATGATGCAAATTTTCTTGGGATTTTGATTTTGAAGATATTTACTTGTCATTTTTTATGAAAATCATGCGGTTTAGCAATTTTTTCAGGTTTTTTTTTTTTCTAATTTACCGTAAAACTTGTTTTTTTGAGGGATTAGGAATCCTAAGGCTAGGATTTCTTGGGATTTAGAAAAAATTTCAAAATATTTTGGGATGGACTGTGGTTTGTAATGACTGTGTTTCTTGTGTAATGGGTTAGCTTGGTCCCCAAGGGTTATATAGGCTATCCTAAGGACATTTTCTAAGGTTGACGGGTAATTTTCTATGCCTTAAGACTTAGAAATTTAGAAAAAATGTCAGTTTCAAACTAGGTGTCTACATTTGCCCATCTTTAACACACTTCATCAAGGAATAGGTGGATAGCAAAGAAGTAGACACCATCAACTGATGGATTACTTGAAAGACCTAGAACTACTGGTCGGAGGCTGGTTGTCCCATATGGTCTAATGACACATTGACTGCTATCCTATCTCAGTTGTCTACCTAGGAATTTTGGCATTTAGGGCCTGGTTTCCAAGCATTCTCTAGGATGTTTGTTCACAGTATATGTTGGGAATGCTGCCTGGGTACCATCATGCCATTAATTTCAGATTTTTCAAGTTTGAGATGAAAAAAAAACAAAAAAAGGGAAATGAAGTTCACTTTCTTTATGAATCCATTTATCTCAGGGCTTTTCCTAACACATGAGTTGGTCGTCCTAGGAAATGCTAAGGATATAGACTAAAAGAAACGGATTTAGGCATAAGAGTTTTCAAGGCTCTCGAAAAGCTCTTTTTTCTCCCTTTGAAAATTGAGGGATCATCGACTGTGTGACAGATTGTCATTATTTCGAGGCTTGAGTCCTACTTCTTTGTTTTTTTCTCTTTTGAATTTTTTTTTTAAAATTATAATAGTAAGGAGAAATTTTACAAATAGATATTGGTGCTAAGTTATTATTGTAGACACCCCATTTTGAATTTGACTATTTTCTTTTATTTTTTTATTTTCTTAATTTTTAAATCTCTAAAAATACCTTAGAAATTCCTAGTAGACCATTAGGGACCATCCGACCTAAATCTACCTTTTTCTATGGTCCATAGTCCCTTGGACCATGGTCCCAACCTTCTAACATATCCCAGAGAGTCTCCAAGATAATCCTAAAACCCTAGGAAACCAATCTTAAAAATCTAGAAAGTTATCCTAAACACTAGAAACCCTAGGAAACCAACTTAAAGCCTATATAATGGTTCTCTTCGGGTCATTCAAACGAGAGTCATAACCTTATATCTAGAGACCTGATTCCCAAAAAAAAACCTAGAATTAAGAAGCCTAACCCTTGAGATACCAAACCTTAGTTTTTCTAAATCAAATTTCAGAGAGAAAAGCCCTAGCTTAGATCTTTTTAACCTTAGCCTAGAGTTTTAGCCTTCAAACCTTAGATCGTAGAATCCATGACCCTAGCTCTACGCAACAAAACCTTATATTTAATTTTAATCTCTCTCAATTATCCATAGCCAATATTTCTAGCAGATCTCAGAGGGGAAAAACCAACAAATTTCAAAGAGAAAAAATGAAAG